TGTAGATACAAATTGTAGAAAGTCATAGGATCTCCCAAATTTTATGTGTTTCATTTGTGTCATTAATAAATGACATATTTACAACAATACTCATTCTTGGTTTTCATTCAATCTGAAAAATAACAGAGCTGCGGGAAACTTGGTTTTAAATTTGCACTATTATCATATGGAAGGCATAAAATAAATTTATGTATGTATTTGTTTTATGCTCAAAAGGGCCCTGATTATAAAGATATGGAGAATATGAAGTTTGTGAGTACTTAGTTGAGAATTATCCCCATCTGTTAAATGTCAAAGACAAATCTAGTAACTCAGTGTTGCATGACGCAGCTTGGGGAGGCAATGTTCAAATAGTAAAACTATTGATTGAGAAAAATATGGATATTAATGCTCAAGGGGAAGATGGTGAAACAATTTTACATCAATGCTGTCGATCAGGCAAATCAGATTTATTGGAGATACGGGGTTATAAGGGATTCACAGTTTTACATTCAGCTTGCTGTGGTGGAAATGTAGAAATTGTGTCTTTTCTACTAAATAAAGGATTAGACATCAATGCTTTGTCAAATGATAGTAAAAATATTCTGCATAGAGCTTCCACATCTATTAAATATAAGGGACATATCTAGTAACTCAGTGTTGCATGATGCATCCCTGGGAGGCAATGTTCAAATAGTAGAATTATCAATTCAGAAAAAATTGAACATCTTCTCCCAACAGGGAGATGGAGAAACTGTTTACATCAATGTTGTCGCTCTGGTAAAATAGAGATGTGTGAGTATCTGGTCAATCAGTTTTCAGAGTTAATGGAGATAAGGGACAATGACGGATGGACAGTGCTACATTCAGCTAGCAGTGGCGGGAGTGTAGACATAGTTTCTTTTCTACTAAACCAAGGATTAGACATCAATGTGCTGTCAAATGTTGGTGAAAGTATATTGCATAATGCTTGTCTGAATAGTAAACATGATGTTTGTAGGTATCTATCAAAAAGTTACCCAGACTTGTTAGCAGTAAAAGATAATAAAGGTAAATCAGTGATAGATATTGCCGCTGAACAAGGTGACATTGACATGATACATATTTTGAGAGAACGCCGCTATTAGGAACCTTCTTAAATTCTCATCAATTCCGTATTTTCATGAAAGAAATGTTGAGAAACATTTATAAAGGAACTCATTCCTAATACATGATAGATAAAAACGGTTTAATTTGATTAAGCTTACTTTAAAATGTGATTTCCGCCCTGTATCCATGCATGAAAATGAAGAAAATCATAGACGAAGATGGCGAACAGTGATTAACTTTATAAAATCCACTGAAATCCATTATACATACAAAATTCATTATACGTACAAAATCGAAAACATTTCACGAACAAAAATAATCTGAAATCTCTCTTGGTAAGACCAAATGTCTAGGTAAATGAAAAATTTCAAATATCGACAATTTGTAGCTTCATCCTTACACTCAAGGAACCCTGTTAATTTTTTAATGTTAACTGTACTTATTTAGATCCAACGAGTCTTATCATATTTTTACGTCGTTTTATTTTTAGATTGATCAACGTTTATTATCTTTACCTTTTCATATATTACTTTGTTTTACGTACAACGTAGATCTTTTTTTATGCAAATATTGGATTGGAATTGTAAAGTATTCGCAGGTTTTTTTAAAATGAATTAGTACCAGATCTGTCATCAGTATGCTTTTTAAGAGAATTCAAAACCGTAAGAGACTTAAAAAATGTTATAAAAATAAAGTGCCCTCGCTTTTAAAAAATATATCTTGTAATCAATAATTAAAAAATGATCTGTAAAAATCATATTCCTGCAAATATTCTTTAATTTATTATGCCGTACAGTTTTCGAATGCTTTTAACTAAGATTTCAGTTGTTTATATAAACAAGAAAGTTAAAAAATAAATCGATTTGACATTTTTAGCTCAAAAGATATGTCAAAATCATTTAGAGCTAAATTATTGTTGTATATTCAAATACTTTATTTAGAAGATTGAATATGAAGAGTGTTCTTATATAATTTTATTTCGTTATTATTTGAAGTGATATATGCATGAAAGGGATTTAGTTTATGTTTTATGAATTAATTGCCGAATATGTTTTTATTCATAGTTGTGATGCAATTGTTTTCTTTGTGAAAATATGAAATTTTCATCAGAGTAATGGAAAAATATGTTGATTTTGCATATATATATGGTTTTAATTTTTTCTCAAGATATTCTTTGAACGATTGAATGTGTAGTTTATTAATGTTTTTAATGTTAATTTTTGGTATCGTCTGAATATTTTTATTGATTTCGTGTCGTATTTTGCCTTTATATAAATGTGTTAAAGAACTGTGAATGTTCTCCCGCCGCCTACCTCCAGGGATTTTTTCAAAAGTTAACAGATACCAATTATTCTTAATATTTATATCGATATTTTTATGGATTTTCATTGAAAACATCACTTATTTATGAAAACAAAGAGAAATAAATGCATGGTTTTGGTAAAACTTGCGTTTTCACTTTAGAAGTCGATGGAAAACGCGATAAAAAAAAATAACCCCTAGGAAACAAAAAGCTCTTTATTCAGGTTATATAGACTGTCATTTCACAAACTCATGCTGAAATGCATTGTGTTTCACGGAGAGGGATGGGGCATTAGGGGCATAAGTTTATAGACAAAAAAGAACAAACAATTTTTTGTTTTCAATTTAAAAACGATTTACAGTTAAAACATTATACTATATTAATACTGTAGACGTACTTTTTTCCACGGGGTCATAATTCCGCGGAATCTCAATTTCTGTTGAATTCGCTGGTAGAAAATTACGCGGATTTCTAAAATTGTCACTATATATCTTACATTTGTATTAAGTTCGCTTGGACAAATTTCCGCGGAAAATTTGTGACCGCGTACATAACGTAAATTAATACCACACGGAAAAAAGTACGTCTACAGTATTTATGTGTTTAATTTAGAAGAGAATATATAAGGAAAAGTTTATCTCATAAAAGACTTTTCTATAAATATAACATATAGTTTAGTGTAAAATTGAAAATTTTCACCCCAAGAAAACCATTGTAAACCGATCGCGAGGCGCATTACATGTATACTGAATGTTTTAAACAAATACATATAACAGTGAACAATGACTTTAATAAACGAGACTCTTGATATTCTTGTTTCATCAACTTGTTTGTCAACTATATACCTCGTTTTAGAAACTATTTATGCATAGAGCATGCTCTTGCATATCCAATAAACTGAGAAATATACCCTCCGTATGCAGGTGATGAAGCTATATTGCTGTATAAGTAAAGAAAGTTGACAATTGTACAGTGAAAGCCAGCATGTCATCATAGATTTTGGTTGTCGGATTACCATTAACGTTTTTTTCCCAAGTAAATTACGTAAAAAGAAAACAGACGTGTCAGACTCATTTTTTCTTAAGCTCACGGTACCACATTGCACATCTCTAGACAACCGTTGTCATTATGAGAAATGAAACTTACGCCGCCCTTAACTTTGCTTGAGACTAGCAAGTCAGATTAATTGAAAATTTCACAACTTTTAAAAAGCACAATTCAAACTACTAGTTCCCACAATTATTGCTTTAAAGAAAATATCACTCATTTTTTCGTTACAAATCTCAAAATTCTAGTTACACAAAATCAAAACATTCCTCGATATTTTTGTTTTTACCAGAAACTTTATATAAATAAGGAACAACAAAGGGTCTCAGGTTGGAAGAGGTGAATTTCCACAACTTCATAATTGCTTCGGTTTATAAGTTGAAGTTTTTGTTGCATCTCAAATATCAAAATCTAGAAAAACACCTGAAAAACGTCAAATGTTTTGGACTAATTTTCTGAACACAGAGCTCTTGAGCTATGAGTGATGGTTATCTTGCCACCACCTGACGCGACTCAGGTTATCGGTTTTTGAGGTCCGACTGACCCATTCCCTTAAGTTAAAATGCCGGGCGCTTGGCAAAGGAACAATCACTATCTTTGCTTATAATTTACGTTAGGACACGGTGCAGCATTCGAACACTGGATTCCTAATCGCAAAGCGAAACCACATTTCTTGTCAACTGTGTTTGATGAACGATAATTTTGTAATATGAAAACCTCTTTGTAAAATTCTTTGGTTTTTTGGGTTGGGTATATTATTCATTTAAAACAGTTTGACTAGTTTTTTGGCATTAGATTTCAAACAATCAAGTGCCTATTTAGTTTACCTACCATATTAGAGCAAACGTATCCACTCTGTGTAAATCTCTTCAGAGTATTTTTTTTTCTTTTTCATGAGTATTGAATTTCGACTTTTAATAAGTTTGATAATGCTGTAAAAAGTCTAAATGTCAATTTTAAACGTTAAGCATAATTTTCATGCAAAATTTGATAAAAATCAACATAAAACTTTACAACTGTTTATAAGCGAATATAAGTCAGTTATCCTAACACTGATGTTCTACTCAGCATATAGTGGTAAAATGTAAATCATGATGACCATTACACTTTGAATAAGTTTATTAAAAAAATATTTGAAGCATATATTTGATTAACTAACTCAGAACATAAAAACATATTATAAGATGCATTGGAGAAGATACGGTGGATTTATTCAGGGAAAAAAAAAAACAGATTTTGAATCTTTGGAACCATTAAATTTGTTGTTCATTGTCTTCTTCTTCTTTTCTGAAAAAATCACCGAAAAATGCATTGTATTACTCAATCATTAATTTTGCTACAAATCTAAGCATTACATAAATATTGCATGTAGTTGAGTGTTGAAAATTTTCACCCCAAGAAAACCATTGTCAACCGAGGCGCAGTTTATATTTATTATATTAAACTGAATGTTTTTAACAAATACATATTACAGTGAACCGTGCGCGCATAAATTCCGCGCAGTCGCTATTTTTTGTAATACCACCCGTCGTCAAGCAATGTTGACCGTTGCAACTTAGGAGGGCGTGGCTTCATTATTCAGCGGGTAGTAGTGTTTTTTATCAAATGTTTCTCGACGAATCAGATTCAAGTAATTTACATGAAAGTATAATATTATGAAATAGTTAACCCACTGTATACAGGACTCATTGACATTATGAAAGTTCTTATAATAACATGTCATATGAAACTTCAAATTACGGATTGAAAAAGTTTTATCCCATAAGCTATAGTTTTTTTTTAACGTAAGGAACACCGATGACCGAAAAGTCATTCCAATTTCTTGACAGAAAAAAGTAATAATCCAGGAGCATCGATATTTTGAAAAGTTAGATGAAAAGTCAAATGAATTAAAGATTCAAAATATATACATGTATATCGTATAAGTTGAAACTTTAGCGAGATTCAAATTTAGCAATTTGTCCTTAAAATTTGGTATTTTATTTTTAGCGAAATGTACTTTTAGCTATTTTAAAAAGCTTTATAAAGAAGCAATTACAAAAAAGTGCAATTAATTTTAGCGATATTAAATTTTAGCGATCAGTCATTAACATTATAGGCGACTGAATATCAGATTTCCAGCCTACCTACATAAGCACCACCTACACATGTGATTACCTTTAACATAAACACCAGCTATACACACGTGATTACTTTTAACATAAACACAACCTACACATGTGAATACCTTTAAGATAAACACCGTCTACACACGTTACTACCTTTAACACAAACACCAACTATACACGTGATTACCTTTAACATAAACACCACCTACACACGTGATAACCTTTAAATTATACACAACCTAAACATGTGATTACTCTTACCATAAACACCGACTGCACACGTGATTACCTTTAACATAAACAGCGTCTACAGTGAGGATCGTCATACTTGATACAAGATGGATGACAGTCATGTCTCATCGGAGGACAGTTACGCTACTATGTAAAACAAAATAAACAAAAAAGAGGGCAGCACGCTTTAATGTTAAACAAAATAAACCAAACAAAAAGGACTAGACGCTACAATGTAAAACAAAGCAAAACAAAGAGGATAATGCGCTACAATGTAAAAGAAAACTAGAGGTACTGTGAGCAATGGGCTCACTAAATGATACTCAACGCCTCCAATATGTGTATAAAT